CAGACAAGGTACAGGGATGTCACAAATAAGTTATCTTTATATTTTCCATGGAGATGAATGGCTCAGTAATAAATAAGGGCTTTAAATTAAAAAGAAAAAAATGTTATAAATGAAAAGATTGGGGTTTTTTTTTACCTTCATTAGTATGATAATTAGAAATATTCTTTATGTTTACATTTTAAAATCATTTGTTGATGGTAGTCATGTCTTAACAAAACAGTGAATGTAGTCACTTGTAATATTTACTTATATTCATATTCTTACATATTCAACAGTTATGGATCCCATTTACCCGAGAGACTGGCGCCAACCGAGAGACCCGTCTGTTGCTCTTTCTGCATTAAGTAGCAGCTTAGATGAAGATCTAGATTTGGATGTAACCAACCCATTTATTTTGTCATTTTTTATGTTTTTATTACCGCATGTTGTTAAAAGTGTTTGTATTTTCATTTAAACTGTTTTGTATTTATAATATTTTAGCAATAATTTTTTCAGGTCTTTTTCTTAATAAATATTTATATATATTAAAATATATATTTGTACCTTATATACTTATTTTTACCTGTTATGTTTGAGTAAAAAAATCCTTTAGCCAGGGAGGGGTCCTTCCAGGGAAAGTAACAATTGGAAATATGAGCTACTTTGTGAGACCGTACGTGCCTAAACCACGTAGATGTTATAACTGCCAGCGGTTTGGACATGTAGCAGTAATGTGCAAAGAGATAAGAAGGTGTGCCAGATGTGGAGGAAATCATAGTTACAGTCTGTTTGGGGAAAGTGTAAATGTTGCAATTGTGGGGGTGCACATAGTGTGGCTTATGGAGGGTGTGCAATGATGAAGGAAGCAGTGCAAGTGCAGCAAGTGAGAGTGGGAGAGAAAGTGTCATACGCAGAAGCAGTTAAAAAGGTTCAGAACCAGACAGCAGGGGGTAGCAGTGAGGATAATGTGAGACATGAAGCAAGACAAGTGAAGCAGAATGAGAGAAATATGATACAAGTGGATGTTAGAAAGTTAGTGAAATTTATTGCTGGTGTGATTAATGGTACTGCAGATGTAAAGTCAAAGACAGAGAATATATAAACAAAAGAATATAGCTGACAGTGATGGCAGCAGTACGGCATTTGGATGTAACAGTGCTGACATGGGAAACAGTGAGAGATGATCTCAAACATCAGTCTAGTCAGGAATCATGGGCTGGTTCATGGTGTTATTAATACATTGGAATGCCCGAAGCCTGGTAAGGTATGGATAAGAGTTTAAACGAGTTATTGATGAAATGGTGCAGAAGCCAGATGTTATTTGTATTCTAGAGACCTGGCTTAGGCCAAATCTGGATTTTGTGATACAGGGGTATGTGGGTGTCCGTCGAGATAGAAGCACGGGAGGTGGGGGAGGGTGTGCTACAGTTATTAAACAGGGGATGCCATATAGGATTCTGGGATTAGGGAAGGAGCTGGAGTATGTGGAGGTGTGGGTTGGAATGGAGAACGTAGTAATAATCAACTTCTACAATCCATGTAAAAGATTGGAATTCGATTTAATGGAAGAGGTGGAGGGACAGGGAGAAACAAAGGTAGTGTGGTGTGTAGATTTTAATGCTCACAATCCACTTTGGGGGGGGAAAGACAATTGATGAAAATGGGAGGGTGATGGAGGAGTTGTTGGATTTAAAAGGGTAGGTGTGTATTAATGATGGTAGAGGGAGAAATGTCAAAAAAAATCAAAATGGGGTCAGGAAATGAGTCAGCACTAGACCTTACCATCACATCTAATGATCTAGCAAGGCTTTGTGAATGGGAGGTATGGGAGGAATTGACAGTAGGGAGTGATCATTTTCCTATATTATGCACAATTAGAATGAGGGTGGAAAAACAGTCTGGAGAGGGAAGAGGGAAATGGGTCTTAAGTAAGGCTAATTGGAGCAAATTCAAGGAGTTATGCAAGGAAAGGTTAGCTGGGGAGGTTAGAGATATGGAGAGTGACAGAGAGTATAGTGCTTTCCAAAATATTATTAAAGAAGTGGCGGACGAAACTATTCCTAAGAGTTCTGGGATAAGGAGAAGGAAAGCGGTTCCATGGTGGACACAGGAATGCACGCCAGTAATAAGAGGTAGAAACAGGGCTTTCAGGTTATTGAGACGTACTCATAATTTTGAGCATTTACTCCAATACAAAAGGGCTCAAGCAGTTGTAAGAAAGACTGTACACCATGCTAAGAGGAAATAATGGCGCGGGTTCTGCAGTTCAATAGGAAGAACGACATCTGTGGGAGAAGTTTGGGGGATGATTAAAAAGATGAGCGGAATAAAGAGGGAGTGGGACTACCCTGTACTGGTCAGAGGGGGGTAGAAGGCAGTCACTGACAAAGAGAAGGCAGAGATGATGGCTAAAGCTTTTGTGGCAATACATAGCTCTGACAACCTGGAGGGTGTGTGGAAGAAAGGAAGGGAAATGACATTGAAGGCGTATCCTGGAAAAAGGGAGGAAGTAGGTGATGCACTGAGTGCTCCATTTTCTAAGGCAGAAATGGAGAGAGCAATTGCAAGAGCAGGTTTGACATCGCCAGGAGAAGATGAAATGTGTTATATTATGTTTTCGTGTATGGGTGAGGTAGCATTAAGAAGACTACTTAAGCTATACAACAGAGTGTGGGAAGAAGGGCAGCTTCCAAAGAGTTGGAAGGAAGCAGTTGTAGTCCCAATTAGGAAACCAGGGAAGCATCCGACAAAACCTTCTAGCTATAGGCCAATTGCTTTAACATCTCGTGTGTGTAAAGTTATGTAATGAATGATAACGGACAGACTGTTTTATTTTTTGGAGAAGAGGGAATTTATTGCATCGTGTCAAAGTGGATTCAGGAAGGGGAGGGGAACAATGGATCCAGTGTTATGCCTGGAAGACAAAATAAGGAAAGCCCAGGTCAATAAGGAAACAGTGCTAGCAGTCTTCTTTGATGTTGAGAAAGCGTATGACATGATGTGGAAAGAGGGACTGATGATAAAACTGGATAAATTGGGCATAGGAGGTAGGGCTTTTAACTGAGTGAAGGATTTCCTGTATGGACGATCTATACGAGTGAGAGTTGGGAAAGAAAAATCGGGCAGGTACCTCATAGAAAATGGGACCCCCAGGGAAGTGTGATTAGTCCTTTGCTCTTCTCCATCATCATAAATGATGTAGGGATGTAGGGCTTGGGATTGGAAGATCTTTGTTTGCTGATGATGGGGCCATGTGGAAAAGGGGAAGGAACATAAATTATACAGTTAGAAAAGTCCAGGAAGCAATAGATCTAGTAGGGCGGTGGTCACTGAGATGGGGTTTTAGATTTTTAAGGGAAAAAACACAGGTGGTTTTCTTTACAAGGAAAAAGTTGGGGGAAGAGATCAATCTTAAACTATATTGACATGTACTGGAGAAGGTTGAGTCCTTTAGGTTTTTGGGAATGGTTTTTGATGCTAGTTTGACATAGGCCAGCCACATTGAGAAAGTTATAGTTACACTGAAGGGGATATATGATGCACTGATTAAATCGGTAACAGATTATGGTTGCATAGCATACAGAGATGCAGCTAGAGCCACATTGGCCAAGTTGGATGTTGTACAAACACAAGCACTAAGATTATGTACTGGGGCGTTTCATACGTCATCAGTAGTGGCATTGCAGGTAGAAATGGGTGAGATGCCTCTGCAATTAAGAAGGGAACAGCTGGCAGCCAACTATTGGGCAAACCTGCAAGGACAGGGGAGGTCTCACCCCACAAGAGCAGTTATGCAGGTATGCTGGGAGCATGAAAGGGTTAAAAGTCAGAATTTTGGCTGGGTGGGTGATGCTATTGGAAAAGAGATGGGACTAGAGGGAAAGGAATTCAGCTCTACAGTTCTGCTGCCAGTCAGACCACCTTGGCTTCTTTTGCAGACTAGTGTGGACCTATGTGTGGACCTTTATATAGCCAATCAAGGAGTAGAGCGGGGGTGGATGTATGTCAGGTATTTTGTGATCGGGTGAATGACAAGTATAGTGACTATTTGGTCATATTCACTGATGGGTCTAAAGAAACTGGATCTGCTTTCAGTGTACCAAAGATAGGGTTAATGATGCAGAAGAGACTCTCTGATAATTTATTAGTATTCACCGTGGAGTTGGTGGCTGTTTGATTGGCATTGCAGTGGGTAGAGCAAAAGTTGTCATATGCTCAGACTCTAGTGCAGTTCTGAAGAGTTTGCAATCATTTAAGTCAAAAGCAAGACAGGTCATAGTATATGAGGTACTAGAACTACACTCACGGATTTGTCAGATGCGGGTAAGGGTAAAGTTTACATGGGTTCCAGCACATGTGGGGGTGAAGGGTATATGAAACTGTAGATACATTGGCAAAATAAAACAGTAAACGGGAAGTTGTTGAAATAGCGATTTCATAAGTAAAGCAGAAGCCAACGCACAAATCTGGTCAAAAATTAATAAAAAGTGGCAGGTACACTGGGATGCAGAGGAGAAAGGGTGACAATTATATAACATTCAACGAAAGGCTGGAACAGAGAGGGTCACTGGAAGGAAGAAATTATCTTCACTAGGTTAAGAATAAGACACTGTGGGTTACATATTATGGGTAAACACTTATCAGTTAGGTGTGAATTTTGTGATAATATTGAATCTGTGGAACATGCGATTTTTGAGTGTCAAGAATATGAGAGGGAAAGGGCAAAGATGAGAGATGGCATAAGGGAATTCACTTGGGGAATTGCTGGGGAAGTCATTAAATTATATGAGTACACTGTTATTTCGATTCTTAAAGGAAACAAGACTGGCAGAAAGTATATATATATAGTTTGTTTCAGTTTTGTTTTGATGGTTTATTTATTTATCTCCGGCCTACACTCCAGTACAGTATGTGGCGGTAATGCACCAATAATGTTGGATGCCAGCCGCCGTTAAACAATAAAGAAGAAGAAGAAGCAGAAAGAAAAGCTCCCGAACGTCCACTGTCGGAACTTAACAGTGTGACACCCAGCGGAAGTAAACAATACAAACGCCAGCGTTAGCTGCATGTATTAAATTCACTAGAAGTCTTTATTGTAATCGTAGTACCGCTAATTATTTAATTTGTAATTAAGCAACAATGTCTTCAGTTGAGTGTTTGAGAGAGTTTGTCAACGAGCGACTAACTGCTGCTGCTGAAGAAATATTCGGAGTTTTTAAAAGAACTATCGTCGAGTACGAAGAAGAGATCGATCGTCAGCGCAGACTGCTGGATATCGTTTGGAAACCCGAAATAAAGTTACACAGGATAGGTGTGTAAAATTTCATTATTTTAATGACACAACAGAAAAAGATTATATATTATCCAAATTGTTTAATTATATACAGGCAACGTTACTCTTTCCCATCCCAGTTGTAGCCTGTTCCTTCTGTTCTCTGTCCCTCCAGAGCTCCCACAGCAACATGTCTGGAAGGAGGAGGAGGTTCTGGCTGACCAGCAGCTCTGTATTCAGGAGAGGAACTCCAGTCTGGACCAAGAGGACCCAGAGCCTCCACAGATTAAAGAGGAACAGGAGGAACTCTGTACCAGTCAGGAGGGAGAGCAGCTTGTACTGAAGCAGGAGACTGATACCTTTATGTTGACTCCTACTTATGAGGAAAGAGACCACAGTGAAGCAGAACTGAAAAGTGACCACCAGCTCCTCTCTCACAGCTGTCATGTAGCTGAGAGCCAAGATCAGAAAGGAGGCGAGCATGAAGACTCAGGATCAACTAGAGATGCAGAGCCAGAACAAAAGAATCAAGATCACAAAAGCAGAAGCCACAGAAACAATGTAAACAAGTCTACCATGTCAGAGGTTCACCATAATCCTCACACAGGTAAAAACTCCTTCAAATGTGACACATGTAGTAAACACTTTAAGTTTAAGTCACTACTGCAAACACACCTTAGAATTCACACATATGAGAAGCCATAGAATTGTGGCAGCTGTGGGAAAAGATTCAGTTACACATCGGATTTGAAAGCTCATATAAGAATCCATGTCTTGTAAAATATGTGGGAAAGACTTGAGTCAAAGCAGTCACTTGAAAATCCACATCAGAACCCACACAAGTGAGAGGCCGTACCTTTGCAAGAACTGCGGGAAAAGATTAATATCTGCACCACAATTGAGTGTTCATACAAGAAGAACCCACACAGGTGAAAAACCATATTCTTGCAAAATATGTGGGAAAGATTTTAAATTTAGCAGCTAGTTGACACTCCACAGAAGAACCCACACAGGTGAGAAGCCATACTTTTGCGACACCTGCGGGAAAATATTCAGCGACCGTTCAGCATTGACAACACACATGAGAATCCACACAGGTGAGAAACCATATTCTTGTAAAACATGTGGGAAAGATTTTAGAACTAGCAGTGCCTTGAAAGTCCACATGAGAACCCACACGAGACAAACCTTGCTTTTGCACGACTTGCAGGAAAAGATTCTGTGACACTTCAGCATTAACAAAACGCATAAGAATTCACACAGGTGAGAAGCCGTATAACTGTGAAACATGTGGAATAGATTTAAGAGGGAATGGTCCGTTGAAAGTCCACATAAGAAGAGTTCAGACTGGTGAGAGGACATACTTTGTAAGACCTGCGGGAAAAGATTCTGTGACACTTCAGCATTGACAAAACGCGTAAGAATTCACACAGGTGAGAAGCCGTATTCTTGCAAAACACACGGGAAGTATTTTAGAACCAGCAATGCCTTGAAAATTCACACGAGAACCCGCACTGGTAAGAAGCAGTAGCTTTGCACAATCTGATGGAGAAGATATGCTTTTACGTATAATGTGGCACAGCACAGAAGATCACAGGCAAAAAAAACACCTGAGGATCGTTAGGAGGAGAGACCGTCCAGCTGAAACTCCTGTGGAGACGTGTTCACCTGTGATTGAAATCCATTTTTGCAATAGCTACATCTCTCAACTGAATGTAAAAGGTTTTCCATAAAATGAGATGTCAATTTCTTAGTGTAAAGTTTCCCTTCATGTGACTATGTGACTTATTGTGAAGGAATTTCTCCTTCATTAAGGCTAATATCACACAGGTTTCCCCAGGTCATGTCGGGGTCATATGCTGAGCTACAGGAAGCCAAAGGTAACATCCTGCTGCCTTGATAAAAATAAACTCTGTGATGCATTCTAAGTAACCTAAGGTTGAGAAGATCTTTTTTGTCTTTACAGACAAATTGTTTTATTTTTTATTTTTTTATTTTTAAGAACATTTATCTTCAAGAAGTAGTGGTTGCAACCAGGACTCAGGACTCTGAATGCGCCTTTTAGGCTTCTTTGCTTTCTCGCACTCTAATTTCTGTCTTTTCTTTTTTATGTAGTTTTATTTTCAGCATTGCACAAATAAACCAAACTGAACTACGAAGTCAGATTTTACATTTGAGATTTACTGACATTACTGTTTTTTATTTAACATATAAGGAGTCCTATTAAATGGATAGTCTGGGTTTTTTGAAGTGGGGCTGTATGAGAAACTTATGCATAGTCAGTGTATTACCTGCAGTAGATGGCGGTGGGCGCATCCCCAGTTTGGAGAAACAGAGATTTGTACCGGCACTGAAGCAAAATAATATACTGCAGTGGACAGGGTCAGTAGCAAAACCTATTTTAGCCACCTAAAATAAAAGCAGCAAATCTTCACATTTGTGAAACCAGAACCATGAAATGTTTTACATGAAATATGTATTAAGCGATTATCAAAAGATATTTCTGTCAGTCAACTAATGTACTAGATGTACTTGTATAAACTGTTGAGTAGTTTTTAGCAGTAGTAATTTATCATATTTCATATATTATCAGGATTTTTAAAACTATAAATATGAGTGTAAAAATCTTACTTTGTAAAGTAACTATTAACTGAAGCTGAAAATACATGTAGTGAAGTAAAAAGTACAATATTTCTCACATATATAATATATATATATATAAATATATATATATATAAATATATATTACACAATGTGACACCCAGCGGAAGTAAACACACCAAGTGTGGTGAATTCGCAGGAAGGTTTTATTGTAGTCGTAGCGTCGCTAATTATTACATTTTTAATTAAGCAACAATGTCTTCAGTTGAGTGTTTGAGAGAGGTTGTAAGAGAGCGACTAACTGCTGCTGCTGAAGAAATATTCGGAGTTTTTATAAAAACTATCGTCGAGTACGAGGAAAAGATCGATCGTCAGCGCAGACTGCTGGATATCGTTTGGAAACCCGAAATAAAGTTACACAGGATAGGTGTGTAAAACTTCATTGTTTAGTAACACAAAACAGGGATTTATATATTATCCAAAGTATTTAAATATATACTGGTACTGCATCTTGTTCTTTCCCATCCCAGTAGTAGCCTGTTCCTTCTGTTCTCTGTCCCTCCAGAGCTCCCACAGCAACATGTCTGGAAGGAGGAGGAGGTTCTGGCTGACCAGCAGCTCTGTATTCAGGAGAGGAACTCCAGTCTGGACCAAGAGGACCCAGAGCCTCCACAGATTAAAGAGGAACAGGAGGAACTCTGTACCAGTCAGGAGGGAGAGCAGCTTGTACTGAAGCAGGAGACTGATACCTTTATGTTGACTCCTACTTATGAGGAAAGAGACCACAGTGAAGCAGAACTGAAAAGTGACCACCAGCTCCTCTCTCACAGCTGTCATGTAGCTGAGAGCCAAGATCAGAAAGGAGGCGAGCATGAAGACTCAGGATCAACTAGAGACGCAGAGCCAGAACAAAAGAATCAAGATCACAAAAGCAGAAGCCACAGAAACAATGTAAACAACTCTACCATGTCAGAAGTTCACCATAATCCTCACACAGGTAAAAACTCCTTCAAATGTGACACATGTGGAAAAGATTTTAACTATAAGTCTATATTGCAGATTCACCAGCGAAGTCACACAGGTGAGAAGCCATATTCTTGCAGCAGCTGTGGAAAAAGATTTAGTAACACATCACAATTGAACGTTCATATGAGAATCCACACAGATGAGAAACCATTTTCTTGCAAAACATGTGGGAAAGACTTCAGAACTAACAGTAACTTGAAACTCCACATAAGAACCCACACAGGTGAGAAACCACATTCTTGCAAAACATGTGGGAAAGATTTAAGAACCGTCAGTGCCTTATATGTCCACATGAGAATCCACACAGGGGAGAGGCCGTACCTTTGCAAGACCTGCGGAAAAAGATTCATTCAGATGTCAGGTTTATCAAGTCATATGAGAACCCACACAGGTGAGAAGCCGTATTTTTGTGAAACATGTGGAAAATATTTCAGAATTAGTAGTCAGTTGAAACTCCACATGAGAAGTCATACAGGTGAGAGGCCATTTATTTGCAAGACCTGCGGGAAAAGATTCTCTCAGATTTCAGGCTTATCAGGTCACATGAGAACCCACACAGGTGAAAAGCCGTATTCTTGCAAAATATGCATGAGATCTTTTAGACAGAGTGGTGGCTTGACAGTCCACATGAGAACGCACACAGGTGAGAAGCCGTACCTTTGCAAGACCTGCGGAAAAGGATTCTGTGACACTTCAACATTGACCTCACATGTAAGAATCCACACGGGTGAGAAGCCATATTCTTGCGCAACATGTGGGAAATCTTTTAGACACAGTAATAGCTTGGCGGTCCACACGAGAACCCACTCTGGTAAAAAGCCATAGCTTTGCATGATCTGTGGGAAAAGATAGGTGTTTGCATCTAATTTGACACAGCTAAGAAGATCACATACAAGCAAGTAGTCTTGTATTTGCTAAACATGTGGGAGACGATACAGTTTTAGAGGTTTGTGTTCCAACACACATGAGCTCACAGAAGTGAGGCGCTGCATATTTGCAGCACTTACTCAACTTATATTGTCTGACACAGCTGCCTTGATCAGGATGAACCCTTTGACCCATTTTCTAGGTGTTTCTTTAAAGACAAAGCTGTCTTTAGAAAGTGTTTTGAATGATGTAACTTAGGTTAACTAACTTTCTTCTAGGTTTGTTTTTCTGTGCTCTTCTTTCATTGCTGTATATGCCTGTTTGTGTGTTTTGTGAAAATACATATTGTTCTGTTGTGTTTGTTTTTTAATGACTATAATGTCCTTTTTAAAATTTCTTTAAATAGGAGACTCTAAATTAGCCTTTCAGCTAATTTTCTCTTCAATGTAATAACTGATTTTTGTATTGCATGTATTTGTAGTTTCATTACTGTGCAAATAAACTAAACTGAACTAAAGTCAGATTTTACATTTACGTGACTTTTCTGTATTATAAGAAGTCCTATTAAATGTTTACAATTTACATTTAGTTGACACTTTTATCCAAAGCGACTTACAATTGCTATATATGTCAGAGGTCGCACGCCTCTGGAGCAACTAGGAGTTAAGTGTCTTGCTCAGGGACACCGTCACCACCCCATAGATATACTATATATGACTTCTATGTAGTTACAATAGTTACTTTGCAGGTTAAGATTTTAAATATACTTTTATACTTATAATGGGCTCATAAAAACTATTAATTGTTACAATATCCAACAGGATGTAAAACTAAGCTCAACGTTTACTAACTGCACACATGTTACATGTAATATATAATTATGTGGCACAGACAGAGGCTATTCTGCGTAATGATTAATTTAACGTTTCTTACTTTGAATATATCTGAATAGATACACATCTGCCTAAGTAACATTCTGAATGCACGGTGAATGACATTATGGAATTTCTACGTAAACAATCTGAATACTGTTTCCAGCACTGCTTTTTTTTGTTAAATTATCTGCGAAGTAACAAAAAAAGACATCTGTTTGTTAAAAGCTGTAGTTCAGAAAAGAGTACCAAATAAATTTCCTTGTGGAACGAAGTGATGTAGATGTACATCTATGTTACTGATAATAAACACTTTTAGAATAAAAGGCCATCAGTTGATCAGCAATTCTGCTCCTCCATTGGCAAAGAAAGAAAATTAGGTGACATGTCAATGATTACAAAGATGAGTGGGAAAGAAAAACAGTTAAAAATCCAGGGCTGATAAATGGAGAATACCTGGCAATTAGAAATAAGGAGAAAGCCGACCTACTGGCTAAGAGATTTGCAAGTGTAGTAATGAAATACATAATGTGAAGTAATTAATGGGTACTATGACACAGGTTTCCGCAGGTCATGATAGGGTCAATAGTAGAGCTGAATTTAACCAAGGATGACAGTCCCTCCAAACTGCAGGACTCTGTCTCTCCTCTCTGCCTGCTTGTCGACTGACACAACTGAGTTGATAATGATGCACTGTTATAAATTTGTTAAGTAACCCAATGTCCTGATAATCTTTTGTTTCAGTACAGACAGACTGAATGGCTGTAAATAGAAAGTGTTTCATGTGTCTTGATTTGAACCAGTAACCAATAGAGTCTTCACACATGTATTGATGGGTGAACTTCAATCTCTTATTTGAACACTTAGTGAATTTCTATAGATCTAGGAAGGATAAATATCCCCAGACAGGAAGTATTCTTCAGATTTGGTGTTGGTACGGTGTATGTTGACACTATGTCCACGGTCGGCCTCAAAAAACAACGCAATGATACGTCTTCACCAGTCTCTGAAACGACTCCATCACACCTGAACCTGGCTTACAATATTTTAGAACAAATAAGCAATGGAAAAAGTTTAAGAGCAAATACTAATTTAACAAAGATAAAGGATAGGGATATATCGACGCTTGACATAATGATAAATGTGCATGGAGGAATCATGTTAAACAGGTTGAATCAAAGTGAATCTTGTGTGATCAGTTTCTGGTTATGAATGGGGAGCAGATAAACAATCTTTATCAATATCAAAATATCAATCAATATTTATAGAGCTTTAAAGCGGCAGTCGTTAACAACTAAGCATAATGCAAAATCTTCTGTCTCTGCTGCTCGTATCACTCCCTTAAGCCCCTCACACCAAATCCACAAGTTCGTACAGCAGAAGAAGGACCCAGCAAAACCTTGCAGGGCTCGCTCTCCACGAAGAGGGTCTTGCCAAGACATTGGTCCATCTTGCATCTTGAAGACGCCCCTTCAACGTGGCCCAGGCTTCAGAGGCAGCTGTGACAACATCTAACAAGTTAATGTGAGGCTAGTACACCACAGTCGCCCTTATAAAGTTATTCCCCATTGTTTGTCATCATGACTCTTTGCCCAAAGCGTGCCCGCGAGTGTGGAGCGGGGAAATGATCGCATACGTTGTTTTTTTTTACTGTATGCTGCTGTTCACAAAGGAAGGACAGTTCTTCATTAGTGGTGGTTGTTTATCAGACATTGTGTTTGCAAACGTTCTGAAGCCGCACTGAAGACATTGAGCTTAACTGAGTGACAGCATGCGCAAGAGGCTACACTGTGTGTGCACGAGCAGTGGTTGACGCTGAGTTAGACAATCCTGCTGGCTCTGATTGGTTGTTCTGACTCAGGCTTGGTGGTTTCTTGCAAGTGGCGTTAGGAGATGTAGGATGAGCCAGAGGAACCTCATTTTATTTACACATATGGTTCACACATTATCTGTGGCCATTTCAATGTTTTATGTCCAGGTTTAGGTGGTACCAGGGTGCTGGCATAGCTAATGGGGGCTCATCTACTTAGGAGGGCAGGGGCAATGTTGCCAGAGGGGAAAAGCCAACTAGTTTTTGACTGCCAACGATGCAGCAGCTGTGACTGTTTGTTTGATGTATATTAGGAGACTGTCAATGGAGAAGGAATATTGTATCATTATGGATGTTGAAGACCGCATGTGCAA